GCACAGCTGGCTGGACCCGTGTGGCTGCTGGCGGCCCGCGGGCCGGTGCAGGAGGCGGAGGCGACCCGGGGCCAGCACCCGTGGGTGCTGGGTTCCCCGAGTAAGGGGACTCCCGCGAGGCTGTCTGCGGGGGCGGGACAGGGGCCGCCAAGCCCCCACGGCCCTGGTGCCCACGCGGAGGCCTGACGAGCTCAGGCACACGCCTCAGGGTGCGGCCTGCAAAGGGTCCCCCGGGGAACCGCGGGCGGAACCCATGTTCCCAGGTCAGGGGCCCCAGGGAACCCTCAGCCTGTAGGTCCCGGTCAGGGTCAGCGAGGTCACCTCCTCGCCAGGGCCGCCTCCTGCGCGGGCGTGTGAGACTCTCCCAAACCTGTGATTACATGACAAAGTGACACTTCAGGAAATGTCCCGGATTACGACGGGGCAGGCGGGCACCAGCTCCGGGCTTCCGGCCCACTAGGGAGCTGAAGTGCGCGTGCTCCCGAGCTGTGCTGCAGACTTCCGCTGTCGGTGCTCCCGAACCCCCCCTCCCCGAGACTTCCGCTGCGGGTGCTCCCGCACCCGCCCGAGACTTCCGCTGCCGGTGCTCCCGTGCCCACCTGAGACAGCCGCTGCCGGGACCTGCCCCATGCTCCCGTGGCCCCTGTGACCCTCCCACTCCTCACCCNTGCCCACCTGAGACTGCCGCTGCCGGGACCTGCCCCATGCTCCCGTGGCCCCTGTGACCCTCCCACTCCTCACCCTGAATAACTGCCCTGCGCGCGGAGTGTGGGGACGGGACTCAGCAGGCCCCCTGGAGGCAGCATGGGCTCCAGAGGACAGGGCTCCATGCTCCCTGCCACCAACACAGGACCTGCAGGTGGCCGGATGACTCCAGACCTTCTTTTGTCTCCGGGTCTGGACCCAGGTCTTGGATCTATGAGGACAAAGAACGGGGACCTCTGCTTTCTCACTGGGATAGTCACCTTAGGTCCAGGCCAGCAGTTCACGCTCCACTGTGACGAACAATAGGAACATCCTTCAGAAGGGACCTCCAGCCTTACCCGTCAAGACCTGTGGTCAACGCTTGGCCCCGTGGAAAGAAGACTCACCCAACTGTACACACATTTCCTGCGTGTAGTCAGCTCAGCCTTCCCCGTGTTAGTATAGTGCATACACTAATCAGTTTGTCCATGGTAGGTTTACCCTGACCAGTAAAATTTCCAAGTACCTTACTTTTAAAACAGACTGATTTTAAAATAGGATTGTTTTAAGAGGTCCCTCCTCCACCCCAAACCAGTGGCTGAAACTACACAGAGGTTTTTTTTTTCTCTTATGTAACAGCTCAGAGGCAGACAGGGGTTCAAGGTCAGGAGGTGGTTCTGGCTCCTAGAGAAGTCCGGGTTCCAGAGCTCTTTTTATTTTATTTCTTGCCATCAGTCCTACAAGACTGGCCTCAGCCAGATGGTGAATTTGGCTTGACAGCCACATCTACATTCCAGCCTGTGGGAAGATGAGAGAATCAGGATGAAAAAAAAGATGAGACAAAGAAGTTGCACCAATAATTTCCACTCTGGTAAGGGAGGGTGGGCTGCAGCCACACACCAGCTAACACTCAGAAGAAGGTGTATTCCAGAAAAAATTAGTCATCTGTGCCACAATTATAATATTCCCTAACCTAAATTTCTAATATTTTATTTCCTACAACAATATAGAACTACATTATTTTTCTAGTTAATCACATAAGTGGATTTGAGGAATTATAGAAAATCAATGATTCTTGTTAATGATCATATATTCAAGCACTGACTTCAAGTAGATTTGTTAGCACCTTTTTACTTCATCCCACCATTGTTTTAGTGAGTTGCCAGGTGCTTTTTATTTCTCAACTCAATCCTAATAGCAAAAAGGGAAATATTTGCAATAGAATATCACATAATAAGCTTTCAGTATTATGAAGGGGAGAGTACCTTCCTTATAAGCAGTTTATTACATAGAAATTGTGTTTCATTCACCTCTTAAGTGCCTACTCTCCTGCCTTCTTTCCTTAGATCCAGAAAATCAGTGCAGTGAGAACACTGGGTCACATCTTGTCCATTTCATCAATTGGAAAATCTTCCAAGTTCCCAGGAATAAACTGTAAGGGGTAAGCTATGCATATAGAACTACGGCAGCACAGCAGTCACAGCTCACTTTCCCACCTGCTTTTATAGGAGGTTATATACCCCATGCCATTCCTCCTCAAATCTTAGCCATGACCAAGAAAACCTAAGTAAAACCAAATGATTTAAGGATAAATTTCTGAGTCTAAAATCCCACAGAGACTTTGAAAAATAATGTTTTCTGAACACCGCATTCTTTATGAAGATATGCTGCCTCCCATATAAGTAAAAAATATTTAAAAGTAAGTCAGAACATGCTATTTCTCAATTCAAAACCTGGAAGGACTCCTTTTTTGCTCAGAGTAGAAACCAGACTTTACAATGGCTGAAAGAACCCAACACTGTCTGCCCCTTCTTGACCTTTTTCTTTTTCTCCTTCAGTTTCCCCTTGTTGCCTTGCTGGCTGCCTTCTGCTCCTGGAACATGCCAGAAACCCTCCTTTCTGACATAGGGGCTTTGGGGGGCCCTCCTTTCTGCCTGGAATGCTGTACCCCCAGGGAATCTGCTGGGCTGACTCCGTTGCCTCCTCCTTGATGGCTTTGTTCAAATCTCACCTCTGTGAGGCTGTGTCATTTCAGGTCCCCTGAAAAGCTGGTGGCGATGTGGAATTAGACATACAGGAGTTACTGGGGGACACACCTGTGTAGAATAGAGAGCGAAGGAAGAGGAGCGGGAGAGACAGGCTTCAGATGCCATGCAGAGCTAACACCTAGGAACAGAGGGGG